AGAAGGGATATTAATTTTTGTTATCCATTATGCATGCTCTGTGTGTTAAAAAAGCCGCATCAATTCACTTTATGCTGCAAATTTACTCAGAAATCGGATGTGTATTCTTTGGGTATCATTATGTATTTGATTGCTACTGGTGAGCCACCTTTTAGAAATAGGCAGTTTGACAGAGATTTAGTATGCGATATTATGGGCGGACTACGACCATCGATGCCTGATTCTGCGCCGGAGGAATACAAAAAACTTGCCGAGCGGTGTTGTGATGCTGATCCTGATAAGCGTCCAATGAATGGAACGACACTTTTGAACGATATTAAGAAGCTTATTGAAGATGCGGAAAAGGATAATTCTGGTGACAACACATGGAATGCTATCTATCATACTAACGTAAAACCATTGTCACGTCTCGAGAAGGAGAGTAAATATTCTAGTACACCCTTACCCACTGGTTATGGTTTGAATTCAGCTGCAGGTATGAAGACAATAATTGATTTAATAAGTCAATTTACAATGTTGATATTAACATATTCCACTGCTTGTGATTTAGTGACTCAACACTCAATGAATTGAACTTGTAAGTCGCGGTTTATTTTACAGCTTATAAAGAGTTTGCTTCTCTTCCGATTAATAATCAATATGAGCCGAGTTAAACAGAAATCGAAATAAAATCGCGCACATTTACTGTTAGCTGCCTTGTCGGAATAGATTATTTGAATACTGTATGCAAAGAAAAATATAGTGAGACATCATTTAAAGTTTATGAAATGGACAATGAGTTCGCACCTGAATAAAATATTGCTCGCTGCTTTCATTGTCAATTGCAGCACCGGAATGCATGCTCAACTTTTGAATAATGGTATTAGCCGCTTCATGACTAGAATGCAGACAAGATGCGACCAAGCAGAACCCATTCATTTCCTGGATATTTTCTACTGGATATCATGGAATAAGAAATCGCCGACTCTTTCTTTTCACGCGCTTGCGGAAACAATGAAGCTTCCTATTCTAGTATGGAAAATACGTACTATCGGCTTCATCCTTCGAGTGTGCAAAGAGAACATCACATAGGAAAGAACATGGTAACAATTATAATAATTTAACGATAAATTCACGCGCACGAGACATGTTTCTGACGCAACGCGTTTCCGATACAGCAGGAATTCTCTGTTTCTACGTTCTTGATATAATAATCTTTTATCGTTCTCTAGAAATATCTATTTTTTACATATAATTACTTCGTGGGTATGACATCAACAAAATATCAAAGGTGAAAGAAAAATCACAATTATCATTGTTTTCTTGCTAAACGCTTACCGTACAGCACAATGGTGCGACCATATCCCATCGTTAAATAATCCTCGGCGTGAAACCATACGCGTTGTATGATGCGACGGACCGTTCGTGCCGCAAGATAAATTCGTTCTATGCTTATTGGGATGAAAAATCATACGATCAACGCAGTGCGGACGACAAAATAACCACAAAACTATTATCAGTGAAAAATACGTACATTCTTGGTTAAGCATTCGTAACAAGCTCTTTGTAAAACTCATCTTGAAGTTGCATTGCTCAACTTTGAGCAGATATACCCACATCAATCGGTCATAGCTGTTATCTCAATATCGAAATGCTTGCATTCATAATCTATCCATTACTACTGGCGAATTCCACTGCTAATCCACAGAAAGTTTCTCAACTGATATCCGAAAATCCAGCCCAGTTATCGTATACGAAAAGTATCATGATTGGATTAGTTACCGAAAAATCATATTCTCTCGACCAACAACTTATCACCCCACTCACCAGTATAATCCACAAAAACAATTGTTCCTCATTTCCGGTGGAGTATTGGCTCAGAGTCCAATTGAGGATTGTCACAAGCGATTCTAGGTTGATAATGAAACAAGCGGATGTAACTGTGGACACGAATGTGGCGACCGGTCGACACCAGCAGTAGCTGCCGCAACTGTACTTGTCGCTGTATCTGTTGAAAGCGTGGGGAAGAGTTGTTTTGGGGGTTGCAGATCAGTGTACGTGAGAAAGTATTTGGAGATAACATACTGTATATACTTACATCAATATTGATTCCTTCGCTCCACATAACGGTAATAGTCTAAGTAAAAAAATTTATTAAAATGCTATTCGGGAATCTGTTTACAACCATGACGACAAAGAGAATATTCCACCCATAGATGTTTGATTCATATCATTGGCTAATTATCCACCCTTTCGTAAAGCACAACTTTGTTGTGATGACAACTCCCAATATCTTGAAAAAGAAGTAAAACGGATAGCTGCCACAAAATTACAAAAACGCGTAAATTACAAGTGCTTACCAAAAGTTATTCATATTTAATCGACGTCTACAACAGCAACAATAAACAATAACACAGCTTTGCACTTTGACGAGAAGATTTCGCATGTTCAATGTTTGCACATTCATCCATTTTTCACCTTCTCTTTGATCCTGTGTTTCTCTCCTCTCAGATGCATGCAGTTGCTCCAAATAGTCTTTAATCTGCTTTGTGCGTAAGAAAGGTCTAGGTACGTATACGGAAGAATATGATCTATGACAGGAAGAGCAGGGAAGAATGCATGCGGAAATTTCTTTACCTGCGGCATGGAAAGGATAAGAATAAACAAAATTGTCAATAAGCTTTTCTACTATATCAATAAATAACTCGATACGAAAAATGTAAGCAATTCTAGGTTGACAGATGAAATAACCCACGCTTATTAATCAAACATTACCAGGAAACAATGTCTCAACGTTGAGTTCGGAATGCCTAATTGTATGTGATATGCATATTTAGAGACGTCAATCTGGATATTAAAGTCTCCTGTGTTGATGACATCTGTTCAAGAGTAAAGAAAGAGAATGTTGGTGAATATAGGCAACATCACATTGTGGTAGCATAATATCAATCCAGTCATATTCTACGTCCAAACATATACACTATTACGCTAACTTGACACGTATATATATGTCATCACATACGTGCTCCCTCACATTGGTACGAGTATATTGAACTTTTTAAGCTATTGACTACATTCAGACTTCATTA